TGGATAGAAATATGGGAAAAGTAAAAATAAGTTTTGCAGTCACTGTAAAAGATGAGATTGTAGAGATAGAGAGGCTACTCCGCCAGCTCTTGGAGAACAAGAGAGAGCAGGATGAGATTGTAGTTCTTTATGACAAAGCAAACGGACACGAGGATATCCCTGAGTTAGTTTGTAATCTTCACGGGGAGTATGACAGTCCAAAGATGGAGTTCTACCAGGACAGATTCAACAACCACTTTGCTGATTGGAAGAACAAGCTTACCAGTTATTGTACGGGAGACTATATCTTTCAGATTGATGCTGATGAGTACTTGCACAAGAACCTGCTTGTAAATCTACCTGCAGTTCTTGAGAGTAATCCTGACACAGAGTTCTTCTGGGTTCCTCGTGTGAATACAGTTGAAGGACTTACACAAGAAGATATCCAGAGATGGAGATGGAGAGTTGATGAGAAAGGATTCATAAATTTTCCGGATATGCAGCCGAGAATCTATAAGCGTAAGGGTGAAATTGTTTGGAAGAACAAGGTTCACGAGCAGTTAGAAGGCTACAAGACCTTTGCAGCATTACCAGCAGAAGAAGATTGGAGCTTGTACCATCCTAAAGATATAGACAGGCAAAGGAAACAAAACGAATTTTATTCAACACTATGAGCCAAATACCAAAGAAGTTCAACTAAGAAACAGAATAGTAAAAATGAAAAAAATAGAAGACCTATTAAAACCTTATAATATATTTAAGTCTAAACTAAGGATAGGAGATAAAAACAGGAGCACTAGAGAGTTTGATGGAGGGTATATAGTAACAGACTATGAGTTAGAAAATAGTACAGCCTTATACACCTATGGTGTAGGTGAGGATATAACAGCCGACACTGAATTTTATAACCTAACTTCTAAACCTTGTTACTTATACGATCACACAATAGATGGATCAGTTGTAAGGAACTCTGGATTACCTCTAAATTACAAAAAAGAAGGTTTGGGGTTCACTCCCCAGTGTGATGATTTTTTAAAGCATTATAAAGAGAATGGGACTACTGGAGAGGTAGTTTTAAAGATTGATGTTGAAGGAGCAGAATATGATTATTTCTCTAAAGTAGATTTAGAAGACTTGGAGAGCAAAGTAGTAAGTTTACTTATTGAATTTCATCATTTAGATAATCCAAAGGCAAGGGAATATTTTGAAATGATAATGAATAAGTTAGATAAGTACTTTGTACTTCACCACGTTCATGCCAATAACTACGGAGCAATATCAGGAAACGTACCAACTGTACCGGAGCTGTCTTTCATAAACAGAAGACATGTAGATAAAATAGAGGAGAGTAATATAAAATACCCAATAAGAGGTTTAGACTTCCCTAACACTAATCAATTTGACGATATATGTTTAGATTTTACTAGCGGTAAATTAAACTCATATAAAGTTAAACTAGATAAAATACCTAACATATTTCATTTTTGTTACGGCCTTAAGGAACAGACTGAGGAGTTCTCTATAATATATTACTTATGTCTTAAGAGTTGTATGACGGTAAACAGACCAGAGAAGATTCACTTTTACTACTACCACGAGCCTTACGGCAAGTATTGGGATAAGATAAAAGAGCACTTGACTTTAATAAGAGTACAACCACCTACTGAGATATTTGGAATACCTGTAACACACTATGCCCATCAAGCAGACATAATCAGGATGCAGGCTCTAATCCAGTATGGGGGGATATACGCTGATATAGATACAGTATTCATTAACCCATACCCAGATAACCTATTTCAAAAAGACTTTGTCATGGGTCAACAAGGGAGTGAAGGTTTATGTAATGCTTTAATGATGTCAGCACCAAAAGCTTACTTCCCTCAAAAATGGTTAGGAGATCACAAAATATGCTTCAAAGGAACTCCTCCAGGTACTGACGGATGGTGCACACATTCAGTGTATTACCCTTTACACTTAAGTAAGGAGATACCTGAACATATTCACATAGAGGGTCCAAGCTCCTTCTTTAACTATCTGTATCATCCCGAGCCTCTTAAGCAGTTATTCCAAGAGAATAATGCAATACCGAGTAATGTATACTCATTACACCTGTGGGAAACACCAAGCTGGGAATCATATCTAAGTAAAATAGATGAAGACTATATAAAAGATAACGATACCACCTTTACTAACATAGTAAAAGATTTAATAGACTAAAAATCAATAAGTTATGAATGTAGTTATTTTTGCGAGCGATGCTAAAGGTTTGTCCTCTCTCAATAGTGTAATACTAGAGTTATCTAAACAAGGACATCGTATCTTTGGAATGGTAACACAGGAAACAACACTCCAACATCCTAATGCAAACAAGCAGAGCTTTCAGATACTGTGCAACACTGTACGTTCTAACCACACATACTCAAACAGTTTAGGAGAATGGATCCCCTTTACTCCAGATTGGCTTATAGTAAACAGGGAAAGATGGAATCCAGAGTCTCAAATTATTGAAGAGTTTAAGAAAATGGGATCTAAGGTTGCTTTAGTTGAGCCTAATTCTTGGATCTTAAACTACGCAGAGACAAGACTTGAAACTTACTCTAGAAACAGGTGGGCAGATAAGATCGACATCTTCTTTATGGGATCTGAACATGGTATTGAGCAGCAGAAGGCAGCAGGGTTTGTAGGTCATATGAGAGCCGTAGGTAACCCCAAATATGATATTAATACACAAGTACCACCGGAGCAGTTAGAACAGCTTAGGGAGGTCTATAGTGCTTCTGATGACAAGGAGAATGTTTTGCTATTTAGTTTGGTAAACGGGCAGCGAGAGAACATCAATCAGATATTCAAAAAATACGTTGGGGACCAGAGTAAGAAGTATTTCTACAAACCATATCCTGGAGAACCTTTTTTAGACCAGTACAGGAAAGATTACCACCCTCACTTTTTTCTACCGCACACAATGCCTATCTTGGATGAGAAACATGTATGGGGGATGTATGAAATATGCGATACACACGTAGGGATTATGTCATCAATAGTCCACGCAACATTACTCAAAGGAAAGAAATACATTGATCATAGTTTAGAGTTAGGCTTACCGGAAAAGTACCTAGACTTCTCAGGAGTCTTTCAAGAAGGCGGTCCAGGTTTGGAAAACAACAGAGCAATGTGGATGAGGGGCTTTAACTTTGATCACGTATCAAAACTAAAAGCATTATTACCAGATGATTATAAAGACAGGATAGAAAAAACAAACAATAAAGTTTGGGACAACTTGCAAAACCCAGAAGTTCTTCTTACATTATTTGATGAGTTTAATGATGGCAATGCCGCTAAAAGAATCGTAGATGAGTTACAAAAATAAAACATTCCTTATTACAGGAGGAACAGGATCCCTTGGTAAAGCTCTTATCAAAACATTAGAGCATCTTGGTGCCAACATTGTAGTATTCTCAAGAGATGAGGGTAAACAAGCATTTCTACGGCAGGAGTTTCCTGAAGTAACTACTATCATAGGATGTGTAAGAGATTACGAAAGGGTACTTGAGGTTTTTACTAGAGTTAAACCTGATTATGTTATCCATGCAGGAGCACTCAAACGTATTGATGATGGTGAAGCAAACGAGAGTGAGTTCACTAAGACAAACGTTAATGGCTCACGAAACGTAGCAAGAGCTGCAGTAGCTGTAGGAGTTCACAAGTGTATGTTAGTATCAACAGATAAAGCATGTCTTCCTGTAAACAACTACGGTAAGGGTAAAGCATTAGCAGAAGGAATATTTACTTCAGAAGATTTTAAGCAAGATAAAACTATATTAGCTTCAGTACGATATGGAAACGTAATAGCATCACGTGGATCAGCTATACCTTTGTTCTTGGATTTGGTTAAAAATGATAAGACTATTAGTATTACTTCAACAGAGATGACACGTTTCTTCTTCACATTAGATGATGCTGTATACACTGTTCTTCAAGCACTGAACAATGCCAGAGGAGGTGAAGTATTTATCCCACAGATAAACTCATACACGCTACCGGCTTTAGTAGAAGCTGTAAGCACTATAGCTGGCAAGGATGCTAAGACTAAGATAACGGGACTCAGACCTGGAGAGAAACTTCACGAGGATATGTTAGAAAAGACAGAACTTCCTCGTACATATAAAGTACCTGATGTGAACTTGCTTCAGGTGAGACCTTGTAATCCAACAAAAGTATATCAATCAAACTTTGATAAGTATGATGGACCACACTTCAACTCAGAGCTGTGGGTAAAGGATGATGCTAAGAGTTTAGTTGAGCTAATAGAAAAAGGTCTGAAATGTTAAAAGTATTAGTAACAGGGGGTACAGGAATGCTCGGAACCGCAATAAAAAACATTTTACCTGAAGCAGACTATCTCAATGGTAGAAGTGACCTAGACCTTTCTTACCCTGAGATAAAAGATATTACTCAGTTTTTAAATTACTACGATACTATTATACATACCGCTGCTCTTACTAATATGCAAGTTAACGAAAACAATCCTTCTGCTGCATATCATTTACATTCAGAGATAATCAGTCATCTTCAGTCTAAATGCAATAAGTTAATTTATATCTCAGCCCAAGGACGAAATACAAAAGGAGTGTATTTTGAATCAAAACTCAAAGGTGAAAAAGAAACTAGTAAAAGATCAAATGACTTAGTTATCAGAACCAATATTGTAGGTAAAGGAGGTCTTGCTGCATGGGCACTAGCAGAGCTAAAAAAAAGAAAAAGTATTAATGGATATACAAACTCCTTTTTTAATCCTGTACATGTATCTCAATTAGCTAAGTTTATTACTCTTCACCCCACTTTGAGAGGCACAGTAAACGTTTGTAGCAAAGAATCTATGTCTAAGTATACTTTTTTATGTAATCTTGCTGAGGCAAAGGGCTATAACAGCGACCGTATAATACCGGTAGAGCTAGAACAGTCTCAAGACTTGACTGTAAATGAAGAAAATAATTTAACTTTTAATTATAGTGTACCATATGAAGACGTATTTTATAGCTGATATCTCAGCCAATCACGATGGAGATATAGAGCGTGCTAAACAACTTTGTACTCTAGCTAAAGCAGCGGGTGCAGATGCAGCTAAGTTCCAACACTTTAAAGCTGAAACGATAGTTAGCGATCAAGGATTTAAAAGATTAGGTGGTAAGTCATCACACCAAGCTAAATGGGGCAAATCAGTATTTGAAATATACCAAGACGCTTCAGTACCAGATGATTGGACACCTATTTTAAAACAACATTGTGATGAAATCGGAATCGATTTCTTTACCACCCCATATGATTTAGATTATGTTGATGAACTAGATAAGTATGTTGAGTTATATAAAATCGGTTCAGGTGATATTACTTGGTTACAGATGTTAGATAAAGTAGCATCTAAAGGTAAAAAAGTATTAATCGCTACAGGTGCTTCTAGCATAGATGAAGTACAACGTGCTATGGATACATTGGCTAAACACGATGTACCCGTGGTTTTAATGCAGTGTAATACCAACTACACCGCAGCCGATGAAAACTTCAAGTACATTAATTTAAACGTGTTAAAAACGTATGCTGCAATGTATCCTAATGTTGAGTTAGGATTAAGTGACCATACATTTGGTGATGAAACCGTATTAGGTGCTGTAACATTAGGTGCTCGTTATGTTGAAAAACATTTTACAGACGATAACAATAGAGTTGGACCAGATCATCCATTTTCAATGAACCCAGTTACATGGAAGCAAATGGTAGACCGTACACGTAGATTAGAACTAGCATTAGGCTCACCTATTAAAAAAGTAGAGGATAATGAGAAGGAAACAGTTGTGTTACAACGTCGTTCAATCCGACTTAAAGAAAAACTAAAACCAGGTCATACTATAACCAAAGATGACATTTATTATGTTCGTCCTTGCCCAGATGATGCATTACCAATCCACATTAACCCAGTAGGCAGAATGTATGACGCTTACTTAGATGCAAACGATTACTTAAGAGTATATGATATCAAGTAACCACAGAAAAATAGCTTTACGATCAATAGAACGTTATGATTTAGGACAGATCCGAGCATGGAGAAATCTTAAATCAATACAGCCATTTGTAAGAGAGTATAGAGAATTAAGTATGGATCATATCGAATCTTGGTATGACTCAATGATTCAAAACCCTAAGTTTGAGTTCTTCATTATTGAGGACTCTAAGCAACGTTCAATAGGTGTTGCAGGTTTAACTTACATTGATTGGGTCAATAGACATGCTGATTTACATTTAGGTTTATATAATGAGGAGTGGGGATGTAAAGAGTGGGGATTACCTACAATGGAAGTAATGTTAGATTATGGTTTCAATCATCTGAATCTAAATAAGATTTACGCTGAGATTTATGAAATCGATACTAAAAAGTTAGATCTATTTAAAGATTATGGATTTAAGGTTGATGCCTCACTCAGAGAACATTATTATTATAAAGGTAAATATGTAACATCACACATCTTATCACTACTAAAATCAGAATATTAAAAACATGTTAAGCAGATTTAGTGGTCATAAAGAAACACTGACCAAACATGTAGCAGGTAAGAAAGTATTAGTAATAGGATCAGGACCATCAGTTGAGGAACGTGGCTTCAATCCTGATTACTACGACACTATTTTGACTACTAGTTTTTTCTATTTAAAAAAGACTTACCCTTTGATAAGATTAAATTTGTAGGATTATCTCGTTTAGTTGATTTGGGTAATGATTTATTAAATAGTTTTTTAAATAAGTACAACTGTTTAATAGGTTTTGAAAAATACAATACACCATTTTATTCCTCTAAATCTTATAATAGTTTTACAGATAAATATAAAGATCGAGTTATTGATTATTGGACTACTAATCATTACGATGGTCCATTAATAGGTGTAGGCGGTAGAATGATTTACGTTGCTATTAACTTTAACCCATCTGAGTTACATTTTATAGGGATAGATGGCACAAGCAAAACACCATCAAACGACCCTGAGAACGTATTTAGGAAAGAAATAAGAGGGAGCACACCACACAGGTAAAGACTCACCACGTCAGGATATAAATCGCATGCAGCAGTCCTATAATAAAATGTCTGAGATAATATATCAAGAGAGTATTAAACGAAACATAACTTTACAAAACCTAGGTGAGGGCTTACCTTACAATATGTCTACAGGGTTAAGCAGAAAGTATTTCCCTTTGAGGTTAGATATTTAAAATATTTTAATCGAAAACTTTCATCCTATAATAAATTTGAGTATATTATAAAGTAATGTAAACAAAAACATAAAAATGGTTAAAGACATAAAAGACGTAGCAGTTGTAGTACAAGCTAGATTAGGTTCACAGCGTGTACCAGGCAAAATGATAAGACCCTTTGCAGGAACTACTTTGGTAGACATTCTCTTTTCGAAGCTAAAACAATCTTCTATCATACCTCTTGATAATATATATTTTTCAGCTTATGAGGAGGATCTTAAAGAAGTAGCTTTTAGACATGGTATTAATATATTCCATCGTTCAGAGGGGTCTTCCATGTCGGAGGGTGAAGATCTTACTGAAATGTATGAGTGGTGGAATAAAATACCAGCTAAGTATGCCGTTTTAATCAGTGCATGTAACCCACTACTAAAAGTAGAGACAATAGATAGTTTCTATAAATCATTCTTAGAATCTAGTCGTGAAGGTGCGTTCGCAGTATTTGAGAAGAAAACTTATTACTGGAATAAAGAAGGAGATATGATCACTCCTTGGATTAAAGACTATCAACTGATGAATACAAAGTACGTAGAGCCGGTGTATGAGGCAGCTCACACGTTATACGCTTCAAAAATGGAATGGATTAAAGATGGGTATTGGTTAGACAATAAATTACCACCACAACCAGAGTTAGTTACAATGGACGAGCTTGAAGCTTTTGATATAGATTATGAATGGCAGTTTCAATTAGGAGAGAAACTATATAAACAATATGCACAGTAAATATGAATATTTACGTTGACATTGACGAGACCATTTGTTTCTATTCAGGTGAGAGAGAGTATCACTTGGCAGAACCAAATAACGAGAATATAGCAAAGATAAACAAGCTATATGACGAGGGTAATCAGATTACCTACTATACTGCACGTGGTACGATAAACAGAACAAAACGTGTAGAGTTTTACAACCTAACAGAGGAGCAACTAAAAGTTTGGGGAGCAAAGCATCACAAGCTTATTGTAGGACATAAACCTGCTTATGATCTTATGATCTGCGACAAAACTAAAAGAATAGAAGAAATATAGTTATGAAGAAGACTTACATTATTGGAGAAATTGGAATAAATCATCAAGGAGATTTAGCTATTGCTAAAAGGTTAATTGATATTGCTGCCGCAGCAGGTTGTGATGCAGTCAAGTTCCAGAAGAGAAACCCAGACGTGTGTGTACCTGAAGCACAGAAGAACAAGCCGAGAATCTGGCAAGGTACAGATATGACATATCTCGAATACAAATATAAAGTCGAGTTCGGCAAAGAAGAGTATGATGAGATTGATCGTTACTGTAAACAGCAAGGAATTGCCTGGTCAGCTTCCCCCTGGGATATGGATTCTGTAGAGTTTTTAGAGCAATATAACTTACCATTTATTAAGTTACCTTCTGCTTCATTAACTGATGATGAATTACTTACTGCTTGTGTAGAGAGATTTCCTAAGATTATATTTTCAACTGGTATGTCGACCGAAGAAGAGATAGATCATGCAGTAGACACTCTAAGAATAGCTAAGGCATACTATAATAAGACAGATAAGATAGGTCTACTTCACTGTAATTCTACATACCCAGCACCTATCAATGAATTAAATTTATCTGCTATAAAAACATTAACTAACAAATACCCTGACTTCGAAATAGGATACTCAGGACATGAAATGCTTCTTGGGACTACAGTAGCTTCAGTACTATTAGGAGCATCTATTATAGAGAGACATATTACATTAGATAGAACTATGGAAGGTTCTGATCATAGTGCTTCAGTAACACCTCACGGTCTATTTAAATTAGTTTCTGGTATTAGAGAATTAGAAGCAGCATATGGAGATGGAATTATACAAGTAACTGAATCAGAAAAGCCTGTAAGAGAAAAACTAAGAGGTTAATGAAAAACATATAAATTTATAAAAACTAGGAGAGAATGAATCTATTTGCTATAGGAGTTGGTGAGTCTGTAAGAGTTTACCAAGATAAACTTAAGGGTATTTTTGAAAATAACAAGACAATAACGTTACATCAGGGACTACATAAGATTTACCAACATTATGGACTACTGCCTGATTATTATACATGGGGAGATCCTTTTGCAAGCCTTCACTCTTTAAGATTCTTAAACAGCCTAGATCATCCAATACAGACTGAGATTTTAATATTGAGCACTCAAACTGGTTCATTCTCTGAATTCAGAAAATACCATGGGACATCAAACGCAAAAAACCATTGGTCTGAATATTTAGAACTAATAGAGATACTGAAATCTAAAGGAATCAAAGTAACTACAATACCTACTAGAACAACCAAGGAGAAGTTTCCAACACTTGAAGAAAGGTTTAGTAAAGAAAATATATGGTTTGGGACAACTCCTTACGGAGGAGATGCATCAGAAGCAAGGAGTTCAGCAGAGACAAAGCTTACTTCATTAGTATTTCCTTTAGCTCATTATCTAGGATTAGATACAGTAAAGGTTTTAGGTTTTGATTGCATAGGCGGAAGGTTTTACGATCCGATTGATGGAGTACCACAAAGTCCTTTTTCAAGTCGTGAAATCCCTATGCTGATTGAAAATATGGATATATGGGAGAGCTGGAAGCACAAACATAATCTAGAGTTAATAAGTGTAGTGGAGGATAAATACACGGTTAATAATAAAGCGATAAAATACGAAAAATTAAAATAAACAAATGCAAAACAAAGAACACTTAATACATACAATAGGAGACAGTCATGCTTTTCAAAATGGCTGTGTATCGGGAGAGGGATATAAAGTGATTCAACACCATTTAGGGCCTGTTTTATGTTACTCATTTGGTAGAGAAGGGCTTAACAGATGTGATATCAGAAGGTTTAATATCAACGATGGTGACAGTATAGTATTTTCACTAGGGGAAATAGATTGTAGATGTCATGTACATAAACATGTTAGTGAAGAGAAAGGGTATAAACAGGTGATTAACGAGATAGTAAGTAATTATTTAGAAGCGATAAAGTTAAATGTTAAAGTCTCAAACATCTCATTTAAAAATGTTTGTGTATACAATGTTCTACCTCCCGTTAGTAAGACTAACACAAAAGAAGATCCAAGCTTCCCTTTTCTAGGATCTGATGAGCAGAGGCGAGATTATGTAACTTATTTTAATGAATGTGTTTCATCGTTATGTAAAGAGTATGGATATGTTTTCTTTGATGTATACAATCACTACACTGATGATAATGGGTTTTTAAATAAGGAACTAAGTGATGGTAGTGTCCACGCCAGAGATAAAAGTTATGTTAGAAATTTCATCATTGAACAAAATATATAACCGGTCAAAATATCTCTGTTGATGGCGGTTGGACCTTAATATAATAATATGGAGAAGATAACAATAGTAATACCGAGCAAGAGCAACTTACGCTATCTTAAGATGGCAATACCAAGCATCAGAAAGAACGAGAGTCAGAGGAATGACATCATAGTTTATGTAGATGAGGACAACGATGGTACACAAGAGTGGTTAAATGATAACTCAGAGCAGTACGGAGTCAAAGTGTTAGTCAATCCTAACATAGGTAAAAAACTTACAGGAATAGGTAAAGCCTACGACAAGTGCGTAGAAGCCTCTGAGACGGACGTTTTTATGATAGGACATGCAGATATGTTTTACTGTAAGAACTTCGATAAGAACGCCTTAGAACATCTACAGGAGGGTACTGTGGTAGCTCTTACTCGTATAGAACCACCTCTCCACCCCAACAATGGTGAGAAGATATTAAAGGACTTTGGAATGTATCCGGAGGAACTTAATGAGGAGAAGCTTTCTGAGTACGTTGAGGAGCATCTTGAAGACGATAAGATTACGAATGGCATCTTTGCTCCGTGGATGATGTACAAGTCAGACCACCAGAAGATAGGAGGACATGATGTGAGGATGCACAGCTGCCGTGAGGATTCTGATATCTTTAACAGGATGTCTCTTGCAGGCTATAAGTTTGTGCAGCCCTGGAATGCTTTTGTATATCACATGGCAGGAAGAGGTGCTGGATCCTTTGGGCAAGCAGATACTGAGGAGGATAGACTACGCCACGAGCAGTGGAAGAAGAATATGAATAACTCTACACGAGAGTTCATTCGTAAGTGGAAGAGTAATGTTAAGCACTCTGCACTGATGGAACCTATTGTTGCCCCTATTTATGATATAGGAATCAGGGTTTTTAACTGTAACCTACAGCTTCTAGCAATGCTTGAGCCTTGGTGTAATGACATTCATATTGATTGTAATCCCAAGCCTTACATTGATCAGGAGCAACCTAACACTAATGACATCCTTGCAGCAAAGATAAGGCCTCTGGAAGATCTGGGATCAAATGATGTAACAATCACAATAGACGGCAAGACATTTACCCAGCATGATTACCAGATGATAATGGAGATGGGTAACATCTTGAAGCAGTCAGGCAGAGTAGGAAGAAGCAAGTTAGGTCAGTTTAATATTACCCTAGAAATCAACAAGTTAGAAGAAAAACAACAAGAACTAATAAACATATAATGCGATATTGCAAGAGTTGTGGTAACCAAATCCCACAGGCAAGAGTAAACATACTTCCAGGCGTAAAGCTTTGCGTTGGATGTGCAGAGGGTAGAGTTCCTAAGAAATTAGCTATAACAGAATTAATAGGAGGAGAAGAGCACGGTTATACAGATATTAGAATTGTATCTGAAGATCAGTTTGATGGCACATTAGAGCAGCGAGACATTTTAGATGTAGAGCCGGATCAGTTTGCTAAAGATCCTAGAATCCCCCTGACTATAAAGAAGCGTAAAGATTTGTAATGGCTGGCGGCAGAGGTAAACGTGTTAACCTAAGTAAAGAACAAATCTTAGCTGCACAGGCTGTAACTCAATCTAACAGACAGGCAGCTCGTAGATTACATGTAAGTTTTGATATATACAAAAGGGAAGCAAGCAAATACGAAACAACTGCAGGATCCGGAATTACACTCTACGAAACTCATAACGCCACTTCAGCAGGAATTCCAAGGTACAGTACTAGAAAAGTAAAGGAGGTCCCTATCATAGAGGTTATAGAAGGGAGAGCTGATGGTACTCAATGGCCAATAAAAGACATTAGAGATAAGCTAATTCATAATCAATACTTAGTAGAGAAGTGCGGGGATTGTGGGTATAAAGAAAGAAGGTTACCGGACTATAAGATGCCTTTGTTATTAACATTTAAGGATGGAAATAAACGTAATTATCTACTAGAAAATCTTACTATGTTATGTTACAATTGCTACTTTCAACAAGTTGGAGACATATTTAATACAAAGGACCACGAACATTTAGAGGGTCACATTCCACTCGAAGAGACATCCGAATTGGTTGACTTTGAGGTTGATGATTATATGCGTAAGCGTTTTAAAGAGCTGGGTATATCGGACGATGAGGACGATGATCCTGATGGATTAAACGAAATAATAAGCAGACGATGAAAGACTTAGAAGATAAACACTCACGGATTGTTAATAACTATTCGATAGAAAAATCAAAACATTTAGAGAGACAAGCTAATTTTATGCTCAAGAATCAAGAGCAGGGAGATGAGCTTCGTAAATACAGTGTTAAAGGGGAGTTCTTCGACCTTTTTGATTAAGCCATTAAGTCGCAGCTTTGGCAAGCTGATGTTCAACTAAATATTATATATGATACGTGCTAAACAGACAATAGTTCTGGGATTATTTATGTCTATTGCTTCTGCCTTCGGGAATCAGAAGTTCTACAGATTTATCCTCCCAGCAATAGAAGTTTCAAAGCAAGAAGTTGTAGAGTTTAAAGCAGAAATAAAAACAGCAGAAAAAATAAAGGTTGTCAATAACAATAAAACATTCCTATCATCACTAGGGAGAAGAGAATCAGGAAACAGATGGGACATAGTAAACAAGTGGGGGTACTATGGTAAGTGGCAGCTATCGAGAGCCAACATCAGAAAGTTTTGTGGGTGTACTACAAAGGAGTATCTCAAGTCACCGGAGCTACAAACAAAAGCTATGATGGGATTACTCAGACACAACAAGAAGAACCTTAGAAAACAAATCACAAAGTATTCAAATACAGCAAGGCATGGAGTTTGGGTAACTGAGTCTGGTATGTTAGCAGCAGCTCATTTGGCTGGTGCCGGTAATGTTCGTAGGTGGTTAAGAAATGGTAAGAATCCTAAGGACAAGTTAGGTACAAGTTTAGAAGATTATATGAAACTTTTTGGGGGGTATAACTTGCAATTATGAATATAAAATTGTATTATATTTATAACAAATAAGTTTATGCCAGAGTTAATTAGAGAGTATTCAGCACTAGAGTTTCTATATGCTATGACAGATGAAGATTTAAAGGATGTCATAAGTATGGGAGAAATAGATAAGCTTTGTAATGCACTCACTATAGATCTTGCAGAAGTAGAGTACGGCCTTACTCGGATAAAAAACAAGGCTTAATTTTAATTATTTTATATGTACGTTTTAATTATTTTATTAGTTATCGCAGTAGCTGCAGTAGGTTACTTAGCTTACAGCAAAGGAGACAGAGATGGTGATGGTGATATTGATCTAAAAGATCTAAAAGTATCAACCAAAGACATTGCTGATGACATCGAAGAAGGTGTTGATGAGATCAAAGATCGAGTTGAGGATGTTATCGAGGAACTAGGAGATGTAGTATCTGTAATCAAAGGAGTTCCAACAAAGGGACAGCTGAACAAACTCACAAAGCAACAGCTTGTGGATTCAGCAAAAGCTGACCACGGAGTAGATTTAGACATAAAAGTCAAGAAGTCTACTTTAGTGAATAAAATTTATTCGCTTTACAGGTAATGAGTGTTTCTTCACCTAAACAAAAGTATGTCCAGCTGAGCGA